TGTGTGTGTGTGTGTGTGTGTGTGTGTGTGTGTGTGTGTGTGTGTGTGTGTGTGTGTGTGTGTGTGGTCATAAGTGGGAGGCCATCTGTGTGCACATCCTCACACAAGGAAAAAAAAACCCTCAAAGCCAAGCGTGTGCGTCAGTCTGAGTCAGATAGTGTCTCATTCTGTCTCGTCATACGTGTGCGTCAGAGCTGTTGCTGAGCGAAACTCGCTCCGGGGGAAGAAAGGAGAGGGGATGGGAGGGAGAGGAAGAAGATGATGAGGATGAAGGAACTGTGACGACACAAATGCATCAGCAGCGTTAAGTGCACTTTATTATAAATGCATTTGTATGACAACCAAATACACTTATAAGCATCACAATAGAACACTGGTTCACAATGTCCATTCTGCAAAGGAGATAAGATAAGTTTTTTTAGATTAATTTTCCATCTCTTATGATAAAAATCTCTCTCTTCTATGTACAGACCATAGAACTGTTTCATACAAATGTACAAATGTGTACAACCTTTCAGAAAAGAGAATATGCCTACATCCTGGGACATAATGCATATGAATAAACATCTTTGCTTTTTTGTATGTCACACAAATAATTATATATATATATATTTTACACATGTATATTATAACTTAGCCTTTAATAGCTAGAACGTAGGAATCAATCCTTTACTTGACCGTAGACAACTCTACGAGCATGTCGACACCATGGGAATTGTACCATTCTCAACCCGTGTCGTTTTTTATTTTTTATGATTTTGTTTTCTTTATCTCTTTTTAAAATAGAAATAGCACCCCGTCCCCATTTTCATTTTTTAAAACAAAACCTTTGTGTATTCTAACCCCTCTCAAAAAAGAAGAATCACTCACTCTGCTTATATAAGTCAGTTGTGCCTCACTACACCGCAACTCCAGAGGAGCCTCGATGTGAATGTCCGAAATGGACATGAAGTAGAGAGTTCAGAGGTCAGCGGGTCACAGGAGTGGGGAGGGGGGAGGAGGGGCTCGTTTCAGGCACAGGAGCCGCTATAAGCTGCCAGCATTGCAAATATTGATGCTGCAAGAATATCCAGCCCTCTGGTCACAAAGGGGAAACAAAGAAGAGGAGGGGGCAGGAGGACAAGAAGGACCCGCTGAGTCCACATTCAGAGTCTTAATGTACAGTACAGAGTAGCAGAGAGTTCCTGGCAAACAGGGGGTTTCATCTTCTGCAGATGCCAGGATTCCCTTCACATGTTTTTTTCTTTTTTATTTCCTTTTTTTTTTTGCAGTTTTTGTTGTTGGCACATCACATTGATACACAAGATTTTTGATGGAGATATGAACTCTTAAAGGTTTTCAAGTCGCAAACTCAAAGCTCAAAGTATCTCAGGTTCGTCTGAATACTGTTTGTAGGTTTTGTTTGCCTTTTTTTGTAACTCTGTAAGGCTTTCAAACCAAAGTAGATTGATTTCACTGGAGAAATTGTGTTGATTTACTGATTGTGTTCGCATTAAGATTGTAAACAGTTGTAAGCTTTTGACTTTAATACATTTGAGGTTTGGGTTTGCGTTGCTGCATGTCAGGCAAAAAAGTGCTAAATTCATCATCTCACTACTGAAATAGCAAGAAATGTCCTTTTTTTTGTTCACAACAGATATTTCACTACGAGTGAATACACATACGTATATGGAGGTTTGATCATCCGTCTGATCACATCATGTAAAGTTAACAGGACGCCACACAGACTCAGAACCCAGGAGGTTGTGGGTCCGTGCAGCTGCACCATCGTGGAGATTGTTGCACCATTTTTGCAGTTTTCACACAGATAAATGACTGAACAAAAATATAAAGCCAATCTTTGTTCTCAGCAGACATGTAGGAGTTGAAGTCCTTAAGTTGTATATACATTATGTATATTTATACACTTAATTATTTTTTACTTTTCAGTAAAAGGGTCTCCACAAAATATGACAATATGCCATACTTAATGAAGTAAGTCACAGACTTATTTTAGAACGGAGGAACACTTCCACTCCCATCTGGAAACAGGAAAAAAAAGAGAGAAAATTAGCGATTCGGTTCGAATAAAGAATTTTTGTTTCGCAGTAATGACAAGGATTTCTCACCTTTATGGAAGCACTGTGGCGATGGATGACATTGGAGTTGATACAACTCAGGTTGTTGCCCTAAGCCAGGGGCGATCGAGGCACCTGCCCCAAACATGGGTTCCAGGACGGCCAGTTCCTCCAGGAGGGACTGAGTGCAAGACACGGCGGGCGTGGGCGAGGCGACGGGCGTGGAGGCGGCGGGGCTCAGCGAGGCAGTGAGGATGAGGGGAGGGGACGCCGGAATGGAGGAACAGGAGGACACGGGAGGGGACGCCATCTCGATCTCCATTGCTTCCTCCGCTGGCCCCTCCCCTTCCGCCGCCACCCCGGCCTCGGCTGCCACAGTCGCCCCGCGCCCCGCCATGGAGTTACAGTGCGCCGATTGGACGCTACAGATGTGGCCCACTCCCTCAAACTGGGAGGGTTGGTGCCAGCACGCTGGGGTTTGGAGAGGGGTCGGGCTGGAGGCGTCGGGTGCGGGGGAGGCCGACGGGGAGGAGGAGGAGAGGCCGGGGGTCTGGGGGGGAGCAAAGTCGTCTTGCAGAAGTGTCTCTAGTACGCTCTCTTCAAACAGAGAATCTTCGTCGTCTAGGAAGATGGGGAAGTCCAGGCCTCTCCACGTCTTGATGGGATAGAACTCCCTCAGCATGTGGACTGGATCGACAGGTTCTGCAGCTGGGGACAGGAAGGGGGAGGGCGGGGAGGAGGAGGGGGAGAGCTTGGACAGGAGTGGGTCCAGGTAGAACCCCTCGGCCAGGGAGCTGATGTGCTGAGCGAGGAGGGAGATCTCTGCCCTCTCCTTCTCCCGCTCGAGAGAGAAGAAGGACGGGCAGGGCTGCTTGCCAGGTGACGCCTCGGGGGTCAGGAGGCCTTCGGGGGGATACTGAAGGGGTCCCAGTGGTACGTCTACATACAGCGGACCCCGTACCTCAGGCAGGGTCATCACCGTGCAGTCGCCGTCCCCGGGGCTGTCGGGCGTGGGGGGCAGTTTCTCGTACAGCGAGCCGCTGCAGGGCTCCACGGAGAACAGGAGGTCCGTGGAGAGGGAGGGCAGCGTGAGGGGGAGCTTGGCAGAGAGGTTGGTGGGCGGAGCTGGGCTGGAGGCCGTGGTGGGCGGGGCTGTTGAGGGTGCTGAAGGGGCCAGGGAGGCGGTGGCGGTGGCAGTTGTCGCCGAGGGCGGAGGCGTGGTTGTGCCAGTCGGGTCGAAGCTGAAGAGGGGTTCGCCGAACTGGAAGCTGGTCCCACCGACCTGGGGGGTGTAAGGGGGCGTGCACACAAACTCCTTGGTCTGCTGAGCTTGTGAGGTGGGCACGGGCGGGAGTGGCAGGGGGAGAGCCGGCAGAGGGGGGTCAAGCTGGAAGGAGGGGGGCAGGAGGATGTTCTGCGTCAAAAAGTCCAGATCTGCTACGGTTTCGACGGTGACCGGGGTGGGCGAGGAGGCGGCAGAGGGGGTCTCTGCGGGGTGCCGCTGAAAGAAGCTGTCCTCCTCCAGAGAGGAGATGCTGGAGCGGGGGTCCCCCTCCACCTGCATGGCTTCGGTGACAGAGCTCCCGGGCTCATCCGAGGAGCCGACGCTGCAGCCGGCGGTGCTGAAATCGAAGGACTGGGCAGAGAGGCCGCTGCTGCCGGGGGTGAACACCTGGTCCGGGCTGGAGAGGGTCTCAGGAGACTGCAGACTCAGGCTCTCCTGCTGCGAGGAGCCAGCACTCAGAACCAGGGTGAGCTGGGTCTGCTCCGAGCTGAGCTGCTGACGCACCGACCAGGCCTCAGAGTCACTGAGGAAAGAGCACGACACACTGAACCGTCAGATTTGTGTTTTTGTGTGTCGGTTCTTGCAGCTGCGATTGTGCATAGAAGGAGTAGTGGGTACCTGATGATGTAATTGTTGCTTCTGATGGGGATGTCTCCAGACTGTAGCTGGAGCACCATGTAGAGCCAGACCCAGGTCAGATCCTGAGCCTGCACACGAACCACCATCTCAGCTCGGCCCTCGCCTCCTTCTCTCACTGTTAACAAGAACAACAGCTCGAATTGGCATCAATGCGTAATCCTGTTAATCATCCATTGTTTGCATGTGGGCACTGTGGTGTGTGTGTGTGTGTGTGTGTGTGTGTGTGTGTGTGTGTGTGTGTGTGTGGTACACTTACAAAGGCTACGGTGCTGAGCAGAGGCATGTGACAGATCCTGTGGGTGGAGGAGGCTGTACCAGGAGCGAGTGCGCAAAGCAGCCACATCAAACCCCAGATAGGCACTCACGCTACAGGGGGAGAAGGGGGGGAGGGAGGAGGAGGTGGGGTGTCAAGAACACAATGTTTCCGAGTAATCCAACAGGTGGGAGGAGGAGGAAGAGTTAAAGCTCACCTGTCCTGCGCGGCCTGCAGCCTCAGGTCGCGGTCGTGCTGCGAGTGGAAAAAGGCCAGGAACAGGTGGGTCTCAGTCAGGAGAGGGCCGGAGGAGGTCGACTCCCTCTCCGCCCCGGAGCCGGAGCGACTCGTCTGGGGCTCCAGGGGCGAGCAAAAGCACACCCACACCGGGTTGGAGGTCCAGTAGGAGCCGGTGGCGGCGGCGGGGGTGGCCGGAGGCGCGGAGAGGCAGCGCGCTCGGATCAGAACCAGTTTGTTCCCAGCGCTCTGCCTGCGCACGGACTTGGAGGTGTTGAAGCGACAGCGAAAGAGACGATCTATTGAGGAGTAAAATAAGTAAATAAATAAATAAAGCTTAACCATAACCCATATTTGATTATAAAAAAACTCAAAAAATGTGTTTAATTCTTACCCATCTCAAGTGAAGTGGTGGTTGACAGGTTGGTCCTGGTGGTGAAGTGATCTGCGGCGTCGATTATGTCATAAACACTATCGCCTTGTGCCACGAGATCCACCTGAAAACACACACACACACGTTAGGATTTACCCCCCACAGCTAGTGATGCAGCAGCCGTGTGTGTTCAGCAGACTCACCATGGAGTGTCCGAGGTGCTCAGAGACGCTGTCCGACAGGTAGAGCAGCTTCCCTTCCCCGGTAAGCAGCATCAGGAAGCCCGGCAGCTCCTGCATCAGCTCCGACAGCTCGTGGAAAGACAGAAACCTCTCCTCAAGGCTAGCAGCAGTTCCCGCTTCTAGATGGAGAAGGAAAAGAACAAAGAATGTAAAAAAAATAATGATGTTAATAAATCTTAATGTGAGGAGTTGGTTGGGTTTCTGCGGCAGGAACAGGCTGTTTCAGCACCGCGGACAGCGATGATGCTGCGCGCCGAGCTGAAGCCTTTCAGCACCGCGGACAGCGACTCTTTGATATTTTTTAGTTTTTGAAAAGATTATTAAACCTTTTTTTATCCATCACATCCCTACAAACTGTTCTGTTCTATTTTCATTGTTGCCACGGAAACACTTGTTGATTCTACGGGATTCTACAGCATCAACAGGTCGTTTCTCTTTATTTGTTTATTTAATCCCCTTTTCTTACCTTGAGTGAAGAAGACGGATTTCCTGGTGTACATGCAGGCCAGAGACATGATGTGCAGGTAGGACAGCCGCGCTTTATCTGCGTCGGAGATGGGCAACAAGTCCTTCAGGTTCCGGATCTCGGCGTTGATCTGGTCCCGTCGAGCCTTGGACGCGCCTTTGGTCGAGCGGTACATGTCTGCTGCGTCTCTGCGCGGCTGGACCTGGTGAAATTCCTTCAGGTTGTCAAGTTTTTGGTGAGCGGTGGTGCTGGGCGCGCGCTGTCTCCCAGGTGTGCGAAGAGATAGAAAGCGGCTCTCAGGTGTGCTGTTGGACTCTCATCTCAGCTGGTTCTGTTTTTTGTTTTTCCTCCAGAAAAAAGGTTTGGATGAAACCTTCTCCTGCCCAGCCCTGGAGCCTCGGGAGTCTGGCTGGCCGCCTGCTGGATGATGTCCGTCCCCTCCTTTCGGAGCGCAGGTGAACTGGCGGCTGTGGTCGCCGTCTCTGGCGCAGGGAAGTCCGGAACCCGTAAATCTGGTTGAGGGACTCTGCTCGCCGCTCACTTATATAGCCTGGGACTCCACCGGAGCAGGGGGGCTCCCGACGCGCCAACACCGACGTAAAGAGGAGGGAGGAGGAAGGAGGGAGGGTTGGATGTGCCTCGTATCAGTGTAAGCAGAGGAGAGACTCCCCCCTCCCTCCCCTCCCGCGTGCCCCCTCCTCCCCGTGACTCTTCCTACGACGTCAGCTCTTCCCTTTACTCGCTGATGACGCGGGGCTGAAATCGGGAGCTCCAGCGACGCAAAAAGCCCGATTTGGACAAAACCGAGTAAGAGGCGGGGTTAGAGTATAAAACGTAAACGGAGTCACCGAGCTCCGGTGAGTTGTGAAGGGAGGAGGAGGAGGGAGGAGGGGAGAGGAAGACTGTGCTGAATACTAACCAGGTCTCTGTGTTTATGTGTCTGGCACCTGACAGACCGCCTGTCAGTGAAACTCATGTGCCGGTTGGGTCCAGTCCAGGTTCGGACCACATTAATCCTGTCAGTGAGACAAAACGTTCAGGATACATTTCGATCCCTCCCCTCCGTCCTATCGTTTTTATTCATTACAATTAACTGAAAGTAGCAATGTCATTTTATTTTAATAACATTTATTGAACATTTCCTGTTTTTATGAGGCTGTAATCACAATAAATCAGTTGCAAACCAATTTTTAAAATATATATTACCTTCAAAAATTGTGGTTTTCATTTATAGGCTACAAAGGCTCAACAGACGTAATCCGAATTGAATTAACATTTCAAACGTGAAGAAAATGACGTCCGTGTCTGAGTCAGCAGCGTCTCTTTTATTCTTTTATTTTTAAAACGCTTTAAAGTTAAACTGAATGTTGTTTTTATCTTTTTCCCCCTCCCTGAAAGTCTCAATGAAAAGTGAAGTGCTTTTAATGAATGGCGCTCATGAATTATTCTGCGCGCGCGCAAAAAAAAAAGAAAAAGAAGCCACTTCGCACGTGAAGCCAGCCGCGTGGCTAAAAATAGATCTCACCTGTGACCGGCTGAAGTAGCGCGCGCTGCGCGTTCCCGGCAGCTCCCATCATCCTATTCAGAAAAGATCTCACTTTTAGTCTGAGCTTCACAACTGGATTTACACACACACACACACACACACACACACACAC